TGTACACTATTCCAATTCAATTTTGACAGTTTTGACTGTACGCATAATGACACGGACGCAACACGACCCTGGGAACCCCGGCTGCTAGTCACGCCAAATGAAAATAATGAGTCAAGAATCACGGCATGAAATCCTTTCTATTTATATCGAACTAGAAAACTCCTTCGCACTTGTATCAGTACAGAAATGACCGCTTTTTCTCTCAACTAAGCAGACTTTTTCTGATAATGGTCCAAATGCAACCCGAGCAAACTTATAATGACGCTTGAACACTTTTTCCAGGCATGCATTATTAGTAGGAAACGTGTACAACAGAGTTGCAAATGATATATGTAACAATCTGTTATTTTATTCGTGTATTCCAGTACAAATAACTCCAGGCTACAATCCTGTATTCGTCTCCTTTTGACACTCGCCTCATACACCTTTTTCGACAGACGTGGTCAGACCAGTTACTATGCTCTAGAGATGCCGCTTACAAACCCCTAGAAACCCTTACATATATATTGATTAAACAGAATAAATCTTAAAGTATTGAAGCTTGGATTTTGCTATTAGTATATATCAGAGGTTAATTATAGGATGGTTTTAAAACTTTTTACTTACGAAATGATCCTTTTCATTGCGATCCATGTCTATACAGAGGTACAATAAGTCCGTTTTGGCTATTCTCAACTGCAAATTGGCAAATTCCGTCTGCGCATTCTGTCAGTCTGCGCATTCTGTCTGCGCATTGTAATTGCGTTGCCAATCTACCATGACGACCTTAGAGATAATGTTTCATGAGGATAAAGAAAATTATATACAAATGTAACCAGGGTTGCTGTGGTGGGACAAATATATCTTAAGAATCCGAGCTTTCGCTCTCTACAACATCGTCAGGGAACACGAGAAGAATAATATCCTAGACTAATAAGAGTTGATCATTCAAGCGTTAAAGTGAACGTCCAATGAGCATCGAGTTACATGTACAGAGTATAAATCAAATTAAAGGTCAAATTAAGTCTAGTAATTTGCTCGTCTTCATAAGGATGTGTACATTGGATTGTCATGCATCTTACAACTCACCTTCATACAGTGCGAATCTCGAATTAAAAACTGTGGGCTTCTAGAAATATTTGGAAATGTTCATTGACCAATCAGAAGTGAGATTAAACGTCATCAAGTCCATTTTCACGTGCAAATTTAGTCAAAATTTCAACGTAAAAAAATTAAATAAAATTAAAAAAAAAATAAAAATAAATAAAATTAGTTTATCACCACAAAACTGCCTGTAAAGCCTCACAAATAGTACAATTTAGTTGCATGTTTAGAATAAACACAAAGTTTTCCATTTATGTCTTTCATCATGTTTTCTAGTTGGTCAGGTAAAGTCACTTTTTAAGTACACATTCCAGAAATATATTTCTAGGCGGACACGATTTTTCGATTTGCACTGTAAATTGTTTGCAGTTTTACACTATTTCCATTCCGTTTTAGCATAGATATACCTCCGTTTTAATCAATGTTAGTTTTTTGCATTTGTGTGTTTACTCTCTGACAACATTGTATTCGTATGGGATTGTAGTGGAGTGAGTGGAGGGAAGGGGAGCAGGGGTTGAATGGAAGGAGCGCATGTCAAGTAGCAATTTGTCAAAACTAGTAAAATCCACTTGAACGATCCAAAGTATTTTGGATCATTAATCCATGTTGTTTCTTGTTATGGATGGCAGTTTTGKCATATGATGACATACTTACTATCGGCATTCCATTTAAGGGACTAGGGAATGCTTTTGAATATATATTTCAGATCTCTAGTGTTTTACATTTTATTGACTCTAACGTATTTC